CGGGAACGGTTTCCTTACGCTGCTGGAATAATTGGACAAAGTCATACAATCAGCCCAGTAAATACAGCAAAGCTCTCTGATCCACTGATGCCAGGCCTGGCCGCCCCGTGCACAAGCGGACAGCGCTGGTGGGCCGGGTGCGGGGGTCCGGCCGTCCGAGAGGCCGGGCTGCTCGCAGGCTGCGCTCACCTTTCGGTCCTGCCAGCGACCTGCTTTGTAACCGTGCCGTCTTGCTCCCGTCCGCCGTGCTGCTCAGGGCGTGCGCGAGCGCCCGTGCCTTTGACTGCCCACCGAAGGCGGGTGGCAGTCCGGGTGCAGCGTGGCTTTGCTGTTATTTCTCCCGCACCGGTGCAGGCAGATCCCGCGGTGCTCACACAAGTCACTTTGAGAGTGGTCTGTCCGGGCTGCCGGCCGGGCAGGGGCAGGCAGGATGAGCGGAGTCGGTAGGCAGGGGTCGGGCAGAGCCCGCTCTCGCATTAGCCCGTCCTTTGTTTCAGTCAGGGGATTCTCCCAGGCAAAATTTCTATCTGAAATCAGTCTCTTTTCTGCCTTATCAAAAGCAAAGCAGTTAATTCCTCCAAAGGACTTTTCTGCACCATAATCACAAACTCTTGTTTGTGCTCCCAGCACTTCTGCGCGATACTACTTAACCACACCGGTAACTTTGTGCAATTGTAAGTTTTTTTTCTGGCAAAAACTAAGCCTTTGCTGCTTTATTTTGTTCCAGATGCCTAACAAACAAAATAAGCCATAACAAAGCACAGCTTTATTAATATAGCTGCATAGTCTGTCAGAAAGAAAAATCACGCTCCTGGCTGATGCAGTCAAGGTGCCGAAACCCCAGCTGAGGCGGAGTACGCAAGGGATACAGGAAACGCAGTTGGACGCAGCACGATCTACGGTGCGAGTTTTACAAGAACATAACAAGTATGAGCATTTAGTTTAGCAAAAAACAACTTGGCAGAAAGTCTGGCAAGACTTTCCCTCTATGTTATGATTAGCTCTTCACTTCCAAAATTTTGGGCGCTGCTTCAAAAAACATCCAGGTAGGCTAACAGCAGCGCCGGGGTCCAAAGCTACGCAGCGTAACACAAATAGCTTGCTTTGGAACAAGCCAAGTAAGAGCGCCGTGCCCTGCCTCTGCAGACGCCTGGCCTCCCTCAGCCCCTGCCATCTAGCTCAGCGGAGCCGCGACCGTCGGCTCTGGGGGCTGCGGGCGCACCCGCCTCGGTGGAAACGCTGGGCAGGCCGGTCCGTGACGTGCGGTCACGCTTACACCACGGCTCTGCCCCGGCATGGTGCGGGACACGGAATGAGCGAGCGGGACACGTTCCACCGCCGGCTCTTCTGCTGCGGACGTGGGGACGGAGCTGGCAACCCTCGGGACGTTTCCACTGCGACAGTCCTCCGTAATACTAACGATTTATTAACCCTCTGCGGCCCGGAGCTGACATTTCGGCCATCGCCCCCTCCACGACCGCAGGCTTGTGTCGAAGCACGGGAAGCGGGGTGCTTGCTCCCGCCTTGTCAGCCGCCTCCAGCCCCCCGAGCACGCATTGGGCCGTGTCCAGCGAGGCTGCGCGTTACCCTAGCACCTCTTATCGGTGGATCTGGAAGCCCTTAAAGAAATTTTGCTTCGTTGCCTCTACTGGCTCACACAAGCTCATTAACATCATTTCCAAGATGAGGAACGGAGTCCCAGAGCAGCCAAGTGATTTTTAGCTACGTAAGCCGAGACGGTGCCGGCACCTTATCTCCTGATTGCCCAGTCGCGATATCGATGAAGTTCTCTGTGGAACACGGACGAATGGAAACAGCGATGGGAAACCCTCGCCAGAAGCCCAGCCCAGGCCTGCAGCTCCCCGAGCGGGAGGCTCTGCAGCGAGGGCCTGGGCCGCCGCGGTTAACGTGGCAGCGAGCGCTGCCTGCGGCCCTCACAGACCTGCTCTGCGTGCGGGGAGGTGCTCGGCCAGCCCAGCCACAGCATGGTCTGAAACAACTTGCTCTGACAGTGATAAAACACCGAGCGCCCTCAGGGAACTTGGGCAATTCCTACTGACAGCAGAAAAAAAATCCCAGGCTTCAAAGCAGCACCCAGCGCCACAAAATCACCCGGTGCCAGAGCTCAGGGGTTAGTGCCAAACTGCGAGGACTAAATCGAGAAATAAAGTTTATTATAAACTGTGACTCAGCCCTTGCTGGAGGCTGATGATCCAGTTATGAGTGTGCGCCTGAAAGTGCTGCTCAGCCAGCCCAGGGCAGTGCACGGCCTGAAGTTTTGGAGGCAGGCTGATTACTCGCATGTCCCGTAATGGATCTGTGCTCCGGGTAACTGGTTTGCTGCTGCTGTTTATCTTCCAGTGATTAATGGTCTCTCTTGGTTCCTGTTGCAATTCCATTAAGATTAGAGACTTAAAGTTACACTGAGAGGTTTTGCAGTAGATGACCCTGGTCTCCCCCTAGACTTATTTCTGTAGTCTTGAGGAAATGAAGATTAACTCTGGTCTTGCGTCCCACACCCTTTTTTGCTTTCTAGCTGCGGGGAAAGCGCCCCTAGCAGACAGCACACGTTCCAGCCAGTGAGGAAAGCCTGGCTCTCGTGGTACGTGATTCATGTGCCACGCACCCCGCAGCACTCAAAATCCCAGCCTACTGGCGCTCCAACGCACTGTCCCCATGGGCGAATGCACACGTGGACCGGGAGCACTAAATGCTTGCCCAGGAGGAGACTGGCGCCATCTCAGCCCAGTCCCCCTTCAGCGCGGGGCAGGGGGGAAGGTGGGGGCTGCTCCACCTTAGCTCAGCCTCTCTCGGAGGCCAAAGTACAAGTAGACAGATCATCTTCCTGAAAACGTACAGTTAAATAAACTCCCAAATGTTTATCTCTGCTAAAAGCAAGCCAGCCCACAGGAGAGAGGTGAGCATGAGAAAGTGCGGAGGCTTCTGAGACAGAAGAAAAACAATTGGTTAAACTCCATCAGGAAACTAGTTACTCCCAGCAGTTTGATTTTTTGGATTGATGGAGTAGGAAGAGACAGATCTGACCCTAAGAAGTCTAATGTAACATCATACCTTCACCCGGGGGGGGGGGAGGGAGAAAAACCTTCCAAAACCAATTGTGTAACACCTTTCAGCTTGAAGGATAAGCCTAGACCGCTGGCAGAGACCAGCTTTCCCAAAACGAAGCCTGCAAGGACCACCACGCTGCAGGGACCACCACGCTGGCCAGAGGCAGCAGCAGCAGCAGCAGGGGAGGCTCCCAGCTCCGCATCCTGCATGGGTCTCCTGGAGGGAGCCCATGAGACCAGCTTTGCTCACATCCCCCGGTCATCGCTGCCAAGGGATCCCAGACCTCAGGTCCCTGCTGAAGCACCCCTGTATGCCCGTGGGAAGCCAGATAACATTGAGCAACTAAGTAGGCAGCCTTTTGCCTGCAGATAAACCTGCTGAAGCGGAGCTGTAGGTGCGCTCGGCAGCCCGCTCCCTGACGGCAGCACTGGGAATTCAGCAACACGCACTTGTCAATCTCAAGGCAGCTCTCAGTGGACAATATCTACATTACAAAAGCCACCACTATAATTAGCCTTACTTGGCTTGCATTCAGCTTTTATGTTTCCCTCTCGCCCCTCCAAAAAAAACAAGGAAGAGTAGTGTACTGCAGGGCGCGTCTCCCCCTCCCCCCCCCCCCCCAATGATCCCTTGTCCTGGAAACTAGAACTCATGCAGAAGAGTTGCCCTTCTCCTCCTGCCCCCGGTCACCCTGGCTTGGACAGTCTGGCACTGAGGCAAAATACAAAGGGGTTGAATTTGAAAAGAGAAAAAACCTAGAGCCAGAGCACCTCTCTTCCCAGCTGCCCGTCACAGCACCCATATGGGAAAAACTGGACAACTTCCACACTGCTGCTCCCTGTTACGCTGGTGGGTCCCCACAGAGACAGTCACTGGCACTGCCAGAAAGGAGCCTGGGAGAGGATGCATGCAGGTAGCGGCTTGGAGAAGAGGCCTGTTTGTTACAGATTTGGGAATCTTTATCTTGGGAGCAGTTAAGTGTGTAGATGGAAGGAGTTAAACATGCCAGAGCAAGTTAGGAACCAGAATTAATTTTACCAAAAACTGAAAGCTCTGAGCAAGCCTGGCTCCATGTTACTAGCACAGAAACTGTCCCTAAAGAAACCCTTCCTTTACGTTAAAAGAAGGTCAGGATGAAGACTCAGAAGGAGATAGTAAATTTGATGTTATCTAGAGACATTTCAGAGGTGCCAATTTCAATAACTCACCAAGAACAGACAAACAACTTGGTAGAAATGCTGTGAAGATTAAGTGTTGACTTTCTTAACATCTCTGCCTACAGTGAGCTCTATCCAATGTGGAAGAAAGCTCCTGTAATTAAATCCAAAAGGACTGCATAATCTAGAATAATATCTACAGCCTTTTGTGTCAGTGGCATGGGGGTGTCTTTGGGCAAATACACTGGGACAAATCTCATTGCAGAAATTTCCTGCAGACCTTCATAATGGTGCTAAGCGGATCCTCCTCCCCCTTCTGTTTTGCTCATCTATGATGTACTCATGGTAAGCTGAAAAGGCCTTGCTTAGTGCCACTATATAGTGGCACATGTAAAAGGTATATAACAACATATGTACTTCTATAATATCCTCTCTAAAATCCTTCAAGTTTTAAATTTAGTTCAAAAAGCAAATTTCTTCTGAGTCATAAGTCCTAGTTTCAACTTGAATATGGGCCACACTTTAAAACCAGTTTAGGTTTAACTAGGTCCCCACTGCATCTCTGAGGCAGGCTAAGCACAGTATGTTATGCCTACTGACATGGTAACCACTGCACTTGTGCTGTTCAGGATGGGGCATGAATTTTAAATATCAGGACCAGATTCCCCTGAGTTGTGTACCTTAAGTTGTCATTTTCTCCTATAAAACCAGTTGTAAAATACTCCCCTTCTGGTTTCCATGTCTCTACCCTAGTCTGTACAGGTGAAGATGATGCAAGACATGCAAAAAAAGCCTCAAAGCAAACAGGACCCTGCACAGGAGGACGCTCTCCTTCAGTTATAGCAAGGCAGGAGTCTGAATTCCTCCTTAAATCTGGTCCAGTACAGAGTCAAGCCCTAGAAGAGAGGAAATTGTGCTTGACAGATGCAATCATATGCAAATGGCTGTAGAAGAGGGGAAATTATCATCTACAAACATTGGGCAGAAATTCCATCTGCCGCCACCTCAAGAAGGCCTCTTAATAAATTCTGAGACAGCAAAGTGACACACATCTTAATCAAGACTTAATCCATGGAATTAATTCACTGCGCGTTTCTGCATAATTCCAAGAGAAATGCTAAAAGCCATGGCAGTATCAGCAGCAGATGGACTCCCCCTACTTCATGCAAAGGTATTAAAGAAAACACAGCCCCTGTCACATCACTTCGTGTACATACACATGGCAAAAAGCAACAGGGCTGTGCCCTGCTGCTGCCAGGAGCTTACGCAGTCTGCAGACATCAAAGGTCAGGCTTGCAATGAAGTGGAAATGGAAACCAGCCTCATGGCAAATATGGAGCCCCTGCCACTTCTCCCCAAGAGGAGATGAAAAGCTTGAAGCGAGGCAAGGGTCCGCGAAATCGGCACCAGGTTTGCTCTTTAGACGCGGCTTTTCAGAGAGATCTGACTGAGACCAGTGTCAGGACAGATTTGTCGGTACTGGGGAAGGACAGGGGATGGAGGTCAGGTGAAGGGGAGAACTGAAGGAGTACTAGAAAGTGAGAAAAAACTACTAGGGGGGAGGTTGTAACCAAGATCTGCTGCACAAACCAGGGAAGGACAGCCATTAGTTCCTGCCCTCTCGTCATGGCCTTGCAAACACTTTGCAGGTATGGGGTCAGTTTTGTCCAGGCCCTCAGCAGCAGCTCTCCTCGAGTTGACAGGAGATCTTAGACAGCTCTGAAAATACATTCTTAGTCACTGTCATCCATCTCCAAAGGAGGTGCATCAGCTATGTTATTGATCTCTTGTTTACATATTTAACGCTAGCACAGTCCAGACAAAATGCTTCCTTCAGAAGGCTCAGTCCCTGACACACATGCATTTGAGGGGTCCATGCAACCTTTTTAAAATGAGAACTCAATCTTCACAGGTGACCTCAACTTGTAATTTGCAAATCCCAAATGCCTCATCCAAGCAGCCCTAGGCCTGGAGGCCCCAGATCCCTGCAAGACATTGCGTCCATTGCTACTACGTTTTAGAGCAACAGGCTCCCTAGCTGGGAAAAGAGAGATGTTAGCTTGGGTGACAGGAGACTGAGAAACTGCTGTGCCCAACTGATCCTCCCCAAAGCTGCCAACTTTCAGAAACTATCAAACCTGTGTGTGCATACACGACAATACATCGTACTGCATGCAGTTGGATCACAAGCTGACACGGACTTCAGGGGAAATACAGGGCCAGCTCACCTCTCCGAGGGGATGTGGGGGGGAGGCTCATAACACCTCATGCCTCATACCTACCTCTCTCTGAGCTTCCAACATTGCTCTGAATGGAGCAGCTCTCAGCTAAGCTCTTCTCAAGAATATAGTCACAGACAGAGGGTTCAGGTGCCCCCGAGTGAAAACATGGCAAGAATAATTTATCCAGAGATAGAGAGATATGGAAAAAGGTGATAGAGGACTCCCAAGGGTGCCTGCAGATCCAGGGAGCAGCACCACCAGCTCTCCCAACTTGGATGCTTTCAGCGAGGAGCTGCTGCTTTGGCCAAGCTTACTTGTCCCCAGACACCCAAGGGTGCATAATGCGATTCCTGTGTTAATTCAGGCTCTGATGGTCCTCCTGGCCAAAGGGAATGGTGTTCACTTGCACGGATCTAGGTCTCCGCTCGTGGCACTGTTTGTACATGCAGGCATGCCTCCCTATTGCTGCCACGCACGGGAATGGTTTTCTTTCAGGTGTGTGCATGCGTGTCTGCGTTTCCAGTCTTCGGATTGCCTTTGCGTGTTAAACATTAGTCATACTTGACCAGCTTGTTGAGAAGTGAAGGAGAAAGGAGAGAGAAGGTAGGGCAGGGAAGATGGGGAGAGCGGGATGTCTGGGGAAGGTGCTAACAGCACTTGGCTGGCCCAGAACTACTTCCTCAGCTCTCTGTTACACAGTATGCTCCCAGCGTTGCTATTTCAGTCTGAATGTCACCTATAAATTGGAGGCTCTTTCTCTGAAGGCTGCAAATAGAAGTGCCACTAGATGATATTTGATTTATAGGGAGGCTAAGCAGAAAGCCTGGCATGCCCATTTTCCAGCCAGGAAACTCAGAGGAGTCCAAGGATCACACAGGGAGCCTTTGCTTTTCCTAGACCTTTCCTCAAGGGTTGGCAAGTCCCTCCCAGAAGGGGTGAGAAGAGGTCACCAACAGAGATTCGTCTCCTTAATCACCCTGTGGCTGCTTTTTCAGATTCCACCTCCTCCGTCACTCCTTCCTGCCTCATGGATTTCAACCTGCTGGCGGACTCGGAGGCTCGCAGCCCGGCCTTGTCTCTCTCCGACTCCGGGACCCCCCAACACGAGCACAGCTGCAAAGGGCAGGACCACAGTGGTGAGTAGTAGGTCACAGAGACCCTCTTCTTCCCCCACTGGGGAGGCTGGGGCTGGCTCCATGCAAGCCACATGTACTGCCCAGGTGTTCGATTTGGATGCAGTTGCCATCTTGCGGAGGGGGTAGTTTGCAAGGAGGTTTGTAGGGTCAGGACACCCGTTCAGAGAGGCTTAAGGCCCAAGGTACCAACGCAGAGAAAGCCTTTGGCTTACAGTGGGGCCCAGGTCCTTCAGGGCTCTATAGAAAATATTGTAAGTAACAGTTCCTTGCTCCAAGTTTGGATTTTTCAATCCAAATTCAAGCTTTTTCCCCTACAAAGGGGAGGCTGCCCTTCCACACCTCCTCAAGCAGCACAGCCTCTGACACACGAGGGTCCTTGCAGGTGGACCCAAGTGGCTGGCAGCTCGTGGGAGCTGGCCGCAAAGCTCCCCAGTGGCATGCTGAGCTGCAGCTGTATGCAAGCCAACGTGACACCTCTGAACACCATGGCAGGCATGGCTTGTTCCAGTAACAAAACACATCTGGAGCCAAGACCTGTCCCCAGGTCTTGGCTCCTTGCTCCTCTCTGGTAGAGGCACAGGAACATAACAAGCAATAAGGCAGGTGTCCCAGCGCAGCTGCGGGAATCCAACCCCCGTGGCCCTGCACTGGCTGCCGGGGCTGGGCTGCCTGCCCCAGCTCACCGATGGCACAGCGACACCCCTCAGCAAGTGGCACAGCTAGGAGCCAGGTAAGCCCAGGTCACTGCCCAACCAAGATTTTATTTTATTCACCTAAACCGGGGCTCCCAGAGGAGGAGAGCTCTCCCTGCAACGTGGAAAATCCCAGTCAAGGCAGGGAAGGCTACATCTAGGTATAAACCTTGCCCCTCCCCCTTCTCCTTTTAAACTCTTTAAACTGCTTTGGTTGAGTTTGCCTCCAGCTAACTTTCCAGGATCAGTCAGTAAGAAGGTTGGAGGAGAAATAGCATTTTACCCCAGCTTTAATTGAAGAAGTCTGGTTGCTTGTGCCTCACTGCAAGGCTTCGCAGTGAGCAGCAGGTTGCTCCTGTGCCAAGGAGGTGCCTAGCCTTCCAGGAATGGCCAAAACAAACCCTCAAATCTCCTTATCAGGCTGTGAAGAAGAAACATCACCATTCACATCTGCTCAGAAATTAGCTACCAAATGATATGAGTTCCTCTAGTATTTGCATCTGTTGATGACTCTTCCTCTGCAGAGTGAGTGCCCTTACGCTGGACGCAACAGGATGACGTGAGCTCTCCCCCTCAAGCCGCCCGCTACTGCCAACGCAAGCAGAGGCAAACGGTGGGGACAACCTGCTTCTCCCCGTGTAAAGCCTCCAGGCTCACCCGCATGTAAAAGCTAATGAGCATAATGATGCAGATTAAAATTCCCTGGAATAAGTACCCTAAAGGGAGTTACCCCGGGATAGCTATGGTCAGAGAATTCACCAGCTGAATTCCCCGCTGCACGTGTACCTTAGTTGGGCAAATCCCCAAGGTTAGTGGCTCCTAGTCAGCTGTTTTGGATGCACAACATTCGTCTCAATTCAAGTGGCTTTCCCTATCAAGCCCACCATGTCATTGCACAGAACTGCCAATTTAGGTGCTGACTTTTTTTTCCATGCGGCCTGAGCAGCTAATTCCAGCTATGACTGCAGTAGTTTCATTGAGGGGGCGAACGTGCACGAGATATATTCCACAACCTATTTTAGGTTGACAATAAACGCTTGCTGCCTGGCTATATCACTCCCTGCTGTCTTAAATAGTCTAGAATTAAAATTGTCCTGGGAGGTGGCTCTTTGCCAGTGTTACCTGCATGCAAAGGCTGTCAGCTGGCGTATGCACATCCAGAGAGGCAGGCGGCATCCACACAAGTGGGGCGCATGCCACCAGTATCAGCAACAGCAGAGAGTGCACCACCGAGGGCTGCCTGTACAGGGCAGGGCTGCATTTCTGGAACTTCTTGCCTCTCTCAGAAAAAGCAGCCCTACTTTTTCTTGGATCCCCTTCCTTCATCTGCAGAAAGAGACACCCTTAGAAATGAAGCATAAACATTTCTTGTCCAGGCTCAGCTCGCAGAGATCCTTAGTGACCTCTGATTGCATTGAGCAGTTTGTAACACCCCCTTCTGTTAGCTTCATCAGGCAGTGCAGTTCAGGAGGAGTGCGAGAGAGAAGAGGGCAGGAGGGGAGGAAGTAAGGAACTGCCCTCCCTCACCTCCTATTCTGCTACTCAGAGTGAATTCAGGGCAGCCTACAGCATCCTTCATTCCCCGTGAGGTCCCTTGTTCGCCTGTGCCACCACAATTTTGCACCCTGCTGTAATGTCAAAGCTCTGCAACTTCATTCCCACTACCCCAGAAGGTATGGAGAAGATGAATACTAAAGCTAGATACTTGGTTACTTCTCCTACCAAGCTGTAGTACCTTTGCTCCGTTCTCATTCCCTGTTTGGTGTAATTTCTTCCTGCATGAAGAAGGGCAGTTCTGAGCAGAACCTCCCAAATAGGGCACAGCACTTCAGTTCTGGCAGCAGCCCTTTTGGAAATCCACGTTTGTCTCCCATGTATAAATCAGGGATAATTAACCGAGACTTAGCAGATGAAGGGACAACATTCAGTTTGTTCGTCCATCTGTACTGAATTAGTTTGAATAACTAGCTCAAATGGGGCAGCATCACTCGCCTTTAATCTGTGTTAGAGATGGATAATGTAGGAATTTCCCTCTTCCAACACTGGCTTAGAGCATCGAGCTATAAGAAGTCAGATCTATCTCTGTAGCAATGACCACTACAAACAAAAAAAATCCACATTAAGACCATGCTTCCAAGAGTTCTGCTGGAGTTGGGATCCTCATATGAAGATGCTCATGGTAGCAATGAGAGCACCACGAGACTGCAGCCAGCCTCAGCTTGTCTACACCTTGGGTCCTGTGGCTTCTTTTAAGTGCACCCAAATTCTCATGCTAGTACAACACCAATGGAAAGACTAGCTCAGTCCTGGCATTGGAAATGGGAGATAGCACCTTCCTGCGCAGCACTACCAGCTGCTGTGAGCCAACACATGGTAGAAACCTCTCCAGTGGTCTCAGAGTGGTTTTGAATAGCCAGCTCGCTCTCTTCGCGTTAGTTTTCCTGCTGTCTGCTGATGGAGAGCATTAAATGTGCCACAGAAGTGGAGGTGGCTGGAAGTGGAGGTGGCTGGTGGGGAGCATATGGAAACTCCACATTTGTTTCTGAGTGTATGCACTACACAGGCAGAAGCAATCTCTCCAGACCCAGGTCCAGGTTTACCTCCGGGAAGAGCAGGTGTCTCCCCTGCCAGTGTTCTCCATGACTCTGGCACACTCCCCTTGGAGGAAGGCAGGTGCAGAGGAAAGGAGGGTTTTCCCAGGAGTGGCATGGGGAGGTTTCCGAATTAACATGCTGCCACAGGAGTCACGTAGTGGCTGGTAACAGCACCAGGTTCTTGGGACAGGTGCCTCTCTGAGGGCCTGGCTGCACGAGGAAAGTGTCTGCTGTTGGGTGCAACACAGCCCAGCCCTGCAGCAGCTCCTCTTCCTTGCTGGGCTAAGGTGCTTTTCAGACTCTCTTATGCCCTCTCTCTTCTGGTTGGCTTTTATAGGACTTGCTATTTCCAAAGCACATCTGTTTGTCTTGAAGAACCTCTTTTCTCACCCAGCCACATTCCACGTTCCTGTTTTCTTGCCTCCCTGCTTTCTAAGGGGCTCTGTAAGGTAGTTTCTGTGTTAGGATTTTTCTGGACTTTGAAGTCTTTTAAACTAGCTTCCAATTTACCAAAAACAAACACCCCCCACCGCCACACACACACAAAACACACTCGCATACGAATCTTGGCAGAGCAATTCTTGTTATCTTTGAAGTTACGCCTCCCAAATGCACCACTTTGGCAACTGTTTGCAATAACGTCTACTGAGCTTAGTTGAATATTTCCCACTGGAGAAGAACATCTTCCCCCTTCATTGAAAAAATGATTTTCAGTTGAATCTATCTTACCATGCTGCTACATCAGCGGGAGGAGGAGGAGGAGGAGGAGTTGAACATCAGAAATGTTTTCTTTTCACTGGAATAGTTTTCTTCTGTGCTAATTTTCATCTTGGTTCCCAGCAGATCTTTTAAACACAAGCTCTTGTTATTGTTCCTGTGCTCTGTCCTCCATTCATTGCCTGAGCAACTACATTGTGATGCTCTCTCTTGATGAGGGAAAAAAAAGTCATATTTGCGTTCTGCCCCAGCTCAGAGGGTAACGGCGACCCAGGAGGGGCTGCAGCACAGAGAAGCACTTGGCTTTGCTGACCTCTGCAGCAGCAGCATCGCAGCAGTGGCAGCCTGGAGCTCGGCACAAGCAGATGTGTACAGGCTTGGGCTCAATGACCAGCAGGGCATGCTGATGAGGCGACTTTTAACTTTTCAGTTAGACAGCCATGCACACAGTGGAGAAAATTTCAAAGTGTTCACTGAAGGAGTAACAAAACAAAAATGTTTCCTCTGAGAGGAATCTCTGAATGAGGAGGAGGGCGGGGGTAGAAAGAGAGATGCTGGAATATATCATGGTAAGGTCTAAGAGAGGCCAAAACATCCTCCTTGCCCTACTTTTTAAAAAATAAAAAAAGGGCACCTAAGTAAAAAGGAATGAGGGAGTGGGTAGCGAGGATAAAAATTGGTGCTTCTCCAGTTTGGATTTTGAGAGCAACTTGTTATCATTGGCAGTTTGCCTTCCCCTTTCACTTCTCTGCTGATTCAAATCCTTTGATCACAATCAGTTAAAAAAAGAAAAGAAAAAAAGACTATTTGAACTTTTTGTTGTGTCACAGATGACACTTTCCTTTCAGCTTTTCTAAGAGGAGCCTTAGACAGACATAAGCACAGTTGGAAATAGCCAGGTATACAGCTAGGTAAGTTCTGCCACAATCACTCAAAGCCTTGGGACGTTTTTCAAGGATGGGCTAAGTGATGTGAACTCCCACTTCACATCCATGACCCACACTGACTACTTTCTCTGTCCTTTCTCCCCCTCTCCCTTTCAACCTGACCTGGAGGCTTTTCTAGAAGAAAATCTCCACCCAGCTAACAGAGTCCAGTTTAGAACTGATATCAAACAAATGGTGCAGGAAGACACAACAATGCCCAAAACAAACAAAAAATCCCAATGGTTTACACTGGGTTGACATCAGCTGAACTCAGGAGCAGGGAGCAACTTAACTGCAGTAAATGAAAATCAGAGTTCATCCACTTGGACTTTCATATCCGTTACACAAGTTAAACCAGGCCAAACAGCACTATGTCAAGGGGAAGTGTATTTTGATGCGAGGTGGATGCTCGCTCACAAAGCTAGCGAGGGAAGGGAACAGGAGCCTTCCCCCCGGTCCAGCCACGCTGCCGGTGACCGCAGTGGGAGGAGGCCTTGCAAAGCACATGCTGGTTACCCTGAGGATGGGTCCCGCTGAACGCATCCAAGCCCCAGTGCTAATCCAAGGGATTTCTCCTGTCTTTGTGTTTCTCGCACAGACACAGAGAAGTCCCAGCAAAACCAGACAGACGACTCCAACGCCGAGGACAGCTCGCTCAAGAAGAAGCAGCGGAGGCAGAGGACTCACTTTACCAGCCAGCAGCTCCAGGAGCTGGAAGCCACTTTCCAGAGAAATCGCTACCCAGACATGAGTACCAGGGAGGAGATCGCAGTCTGGACCAACCTGACGGAGGCACGAGTTCGGGTAGGACTGCAGCTCTCTCACCTGTCCCGTCCTTTAACACAGCCTGAGCTTGTTGAAATTGGCTGCGATACAAACCTGCTGTGCCCACATCCCCCAGCCTTAGCCTTGTTAGCGTGGGTGCTCTTTGGGGTAGTCTGAACCACAGTGCAGTCACAGGCCTCATGTGGCAGAGCTCCAGCTGGGCAGAGAGCTTCTCTCTGCTACTAGAAATAGGAGCTAGCGGCACCATGAATAGCCTTCCAGCAGCTTCCACGCTCCAGGAAGTTGTATTATTCAAGTCCCTTTAACACTAACAGGTTTTCCTGCTAGAAGACAGACTTCTAATGTCCCTCCCCCCAACAAGCCGAGATGAAATCAAAGTGAGAGGGTTGATTTCCTGCAGCTTGGCAGCTCTCAAACCACATCCCCCAAATGCCTTGCTTGCAAGACACACAACCCCAACCTCCTGTGCAGTGGTCACCTGGAAATGCAGCAAGTATTTCTTCCCTTTTCCCCATGTAAAGGGCATTTGTTTGTTAAGTAAGATAGGTCAGAAGGCAGGTCTTGGGGGCTTGGAGGTCTCAAAGGCTATCTCCATTAGCTCTGGCCTGTGCCAGGACACAGATACAGATTTCCTGCCCTTTGGTAGCAACCGAGAAACAGACTTCAGACATAAAAGCTCTTGGGGCTTTGGCTGCATCATTTAAAACATCATATCCCCAGTGATCATCTCACCCCTCTGTCAGAAAGGCACCCTCCCACAGAAGGGAGGGAGGAAACAAACACAGGCCAGGTCCTTGGTCAGACCTCAACCACTCCTTGGTCTCCTGCATCAGTTTACGCCAGATGAACCTACTGTAGCTACAGCACCCACAAGTCAGAGCTACAGCGGAGACTAGAAAGAGCTCTGGTAGGAGGCTGCTGAATGTGCCACTTCTGTAGGGCCAGCACCGCTGTCTGGCATCAACGTCCATACTGTAGGGTAGGACTGAGTGCCTACAGTAAGTCATGAGCATCACCCATTAGGTGGCCTCAAATATTGTAGGCTTAGTCTGCGTATTGTGAGTAGCAGTGCTTGGGTTTAGATCTAGGTGATGATTCTCCCCAGAAGATGACTCTGCAGCCCAGACGTAGCACTGCCAGCCATTCCTGATGCTCACTCTCTCTATTGACCAGCTCCCTGGGAACAGCTTCAGGCTCTTCACTGCTCCCTGCCTTGCTGGGCCAGGAGACTGAGGCAAAGGCTGCTCCAGGTGATAACCCAGAATGATTCCCTCTCCTCTCCCTTCTCTTTCTCTTGCAGGTCTGGTTTAAAAATCGCAGAGCTAAGTGGAGGAAACGGGAGAGAAACCAGCAGGCTGAACTGTGCAAGAACAGCTTTGGAGCACAGTTCAATGGACTGATGCAGCCTTATGACGACATGTATTCTAGCTATTCCTACAACAACTGGGCCACCAAGGGGCTTGCCACCAGCCCCCTCTCAGCCAAGAGCTTCCCTTTCTTCAACTCCATGAATGTCAGTCCTCTCTCCTCCCAGCCAATGTTCTCCCCACCCAGCTCCATCGCCTCCATGACCATGCCTTCTTCCATGGTCCCTTCGGCAGTGACCGGAGTACCGGGCTCCAGCCTCAACAACCTGGGAAACATCAACAACCTGAACAGCCCAAGCCTCAACTCCGCCGTTTCATCCAGTGCCTGTCCTTACGCCTCGACGGCCAGCCCCTACATGTACAGGGACACATGCAACTCCAGCCTGGCCAGCCTGAGGCTGAAGGCAAAGCAGCATGCTAACTTCACCTACCCAGCGGTGCAGACAGCAGCTTCCAATCTGAGCCCTTGCCAGTATGCCGTGGACAGACCTGTATGAAGGGCTGCCCTCCACCAACCGGGGACTTGACCTTAGCCTGACAAAAGGAGATCTTCAGCCCTACAACAGCATACATCCTGCAGAGAATGAGAGTGAAAGAGAGTGAAAGAGAGGAAGAGTGAAAACGAGAGAAAAAGAGGCAAGCAGGCAGATGGACCTCTATGAAGATTTGTCTAACTATCGTATGGTGAATTTTGACTGTCTTTCCCCTTCCAAACCCCTTCCCCTCTTGCCCACCAAACCTCCTCCCTCTTGGTAAAGAAACCAAAACAGTCTACTGGAATCCTTGTGGGGAAATAGGAGCCCCTGACGTGCGAGGTGCCTGACCCACGGCAGCAAACCTGAGCATATTTCAGTCTGACCCTCCAGCCCTCCAGGTGTGAGAGCTCCCCACTCCCTTCCCTGGGGACAAGGGGGCCTGGGAAAAGTAAGCAGCCAGACATTGCAGTTATAGGGAACAGCCAGGGACAGGGTAATATTGTGCTGCTACTCAATGCTTGGTTGACCCCTTCTCCTCACACGTGTGAAGTTGTTGGATTTTAGGTAAAGACAACTTGCTCATTTATTTGTCACACAGCCAATCCTGCAGCCAGTAAGGACCGTGCTGCCTCAGTTGATTGGCACATCTCTTTATAACGCATATATACGCATGGCCATTAAGACTTGAAGCCTTTAGGGACTGGGAGTTGTAAGGATATAGAATATGTGTGTGTATATATTTTATATATATACAAATACATATATAGACATATATATTAAATATGCTTTTTTGTTTTGTACATGGAATAACCTATGAAGTAGACCTTAAAACCAAAAACCCCATAAAACAAGCATGTCCACCAAGGCGGTGATCTGCCTGTCATGCTTTACTGCTTCAGTCATTTCCAGTCAGATAGGAATTCCTTTGCCTGTGTACATCCAAAGCACTGCCTTTTGCGACGATCAGCTCCCACTTGCACAATCCTCCCCTTCCCCTTCCCCAAATCCCATTTCAAAAAAGAAAATAAAATGAAAGTTGGCACAATCCCGTGAAGGCTTCTGCCTGTCTGGTTATTGAGAGCATGAGCCTGTGTCTAAAGGTTCAGAAATCACACACCAGCACCCAGCGGGAAAGTGAGCGTCCTTCAGGAGCACCAGCGAGGCAGTTTGAGTCGGGACAGGGGCCTGACATTTGAAGGAAGCATCTTGGTGATGCACCTACAAATCAAAACAACCGGCTCTTCAGGAGGGCAGAGGCGCAGGGTGACAGTGCAGGGAAAACAAGCCCCCTCCCCGCACCTCTGAGCGGACAGGTCGAGCCTCTCCTGGCTCAGGCTTGCTCCCGTGGGCTGGACGCGGCCACTGCCTTTCAGCCCTGCAGCCTAGGGCAGGTCAGCCCCTCCGGACACCCTGGCCCCAGAGGACCACCTGTAGTGGAGAGAGAGGCTGCAGCAACCAGCTTTGCCAGCCTGCATGTGCATTGCCTCTTTTGGGAAAGCTGTGAAAACAGAGCCAGCTCTTCTGTGATGTATGTGCACCAGCAGGGCCCATTGCTTCAGCTGATGCCGCTGGGCCCTCGGAGAAACCAAGGAAACCACACAAGCAGCAGGGTTGCAGACTTCCCTACTCAGTGGGGCCTCCTCTCCCTTCTTGGGGCATCTCCCCTTGCTTCAGGGGAAAGCACTACTCTAATTTTACTTTTAAAGAAAGAAAAGAAAGAAAGACACATCACCAAAACAAACTATCCTGCTTGGGCAAGTGAGACAGGCAGAGCTGGCGTAAAGCAGGTTTCTGTGGTGTTGTTATGGTGCACAGAGGGAGCAGGTCCTTTACTGAGAAGGGATCCCTGCTAAGACACAGAAAGAGGTCCCTTACACGCAAAGCACATGAACCACATAGTCTTTGCCAAAGCCTATTCCACAGGGAAAAGCTGCTGCTGAAGGTATCGGTGAGCAGACACAGAAAGCAGTTGTAGATGTCGGTCCAACATCACTGTAGCAAAATCATGCTTTGCTCTGAGCTAATCCAAAACAAGGAAGCCGAGTTACCCCATGCTGCAACAGCTACTGAGGGAAGCACAGCCCTGCTCTGCAAAGCATGTTCAAAGATCAAGCATAAATTTCTAATAAAACATATATAGCACAACAGCAACAAGATCCAGATCTTACCTTACCCCCAGGTTTCAGTGCTGCTGAGCTAGCTTTGGTTAGTCTCCTGTGCTGGAGCCTCCATCCAGCAGTCTTCCCACCAAACACACACCTTGATGCTATTGCCTCAACTCTCTTTTTTGCTACAGCTCGTCTCCCTGAGGGAAGCAGAAAGGGCCCAGAGCTCCCCAGGCCCCTCTCTAATTTCCTCCCTTGCAGATCCTGCTTCACACCTGAGTCCACCTTCCCCCCCCCTCTCATAACCATGGCCAGGTGGTGCCACAAGGGAGCTCTCCTCTCCCTCTCCCTCTCCCTCTCCCTCTCCTCCTTCTCCATGAAGGAGCCTCTTCTTCCCAATCACCTTTCCCAGTCACCCTGCCCCCACCCCCCCCATGCCCACACTCATCTCAGGGCAGGTAGGAGCACGGTAAAGCCACAATGCAAAGACGCAGCTTTGCCAGGAAAAAGAATCAAAGGGATGAACCTCCCCCCCCCTTCCCTTTCATGTGGGTGATATTGCTCAGGACGGAAAGTGTTGCTTCTCTTCTCCCCAATCAAAGCTGAAAACAACATGAGATCCTCCTTCTCTTTTAGCCTGCTGTAATACCTGCCCTTGAGCAAATAGTTGCTGTGTTGCTGTGATGCTTGTGAGATCCCCACAGAGAAGACAAGGTTGGTAGGGACAGGGATGTAAAAGGGAAGCCCAGGACCAGGTGGAGAAGGGAGTTAGGGGAGGCATGCTGCTGGGATGGGTCAGACAGCCTGGCTGTTGCTGGGTCTTGCAGGATTCAGTCACAAAAGATGTGCCCAGATATACAGAGCAAGAAGCCAACTCCAGCATGCAGCTCTCATCATCTCCTGTTGCAGTCAGTGGGGAAAAGTCAAGACTTCATTTAGTTACTGATTTTTCAGCCTGAGGTTTTCCATGCAGTCATTGAAATTACCTTTAGGCCAATCCAATCTGGTCTCTGAGCAGAACAAACTCACTTGGTACCTACAACAGGCAACTGGCGCATGCAAGTGTACATAGCCAGTGACTACAGGCCAGCTTGTGGTTTCAAACTTCTCCTTCCCAGTCCTGTACAGAGAAAATGGTGGGGTCTGTCTCTGTTCCTGCTGGAGGCAGGAGGTATCACACTATGTATCATCCAAACTGGAGAGCAAAGCACACACCAACTCTGAGCTGAGAGTATTTTGCACAATGGCACCCAATAACTGACACAACCTGGGAAAACCGGTAAAATCTGCAAACACCAGAGATGGACAACAGTAAATAACGAAGTAAGCAGGTTGCCAGCAGAGAGCCTGGAAGATGTCCCCTCATTCCCAAAAGCCACCTGCCTTCCTGATGCAGCTGAGCCAGTACCACCAGGCCTCCTGTGCTTGGCTGCCTTCCTAGGGGCGCAGGATATGATCATGCATTAAGCTCTGGTGCAGCACAAACACAGCAGCAGTCCTACAGATCCCCCAGTGCAGCACCTCCTTGATACTGCAACCCAAGCAGGGGGGTTCAGCAAAGTCCTGCTTATTCTAAAGACCTGCTAGGCCAGTAACTTTATCACGAGATACTTCCCAATCTGCAGATTTAGCAAGTATACATTCTGCTCCATCATCCAGGTCATTAACGGCAACGCTGAACAAAACTAGAGCCACAACAGATGTCCATGAACTTCACTTAGCATACCTCTTCCTTTTCAACAGTGAACCACAGATAACTCTGTGGGCATAACTATTCAATAATTCTGAACTTACCCTACATCCCATCTACGTCATATTTTTCAAGCTTGCTTAAGAGCTTAGCACATGAGACAATGTCAGAAATCTTATTAAAATTCAGTTAAATGGCAGCCACTGCTCATCTTCACCATGGCTCTTACCCTGTCACAGAAGAAAATGAGATTGCTTTGATCAGATTATGCTCCTGACAAGTCCATATGGCTCCTGCTCATCTTCACTGCTTACAAATAGAGCGATTAGTTGTTCCAGCATCTTGGGAGGGGGGAAGGGAGGGATTTAATTGCCAGCAGTTCCTGGCTCTTGCTCCTGTTCCCTATTTTAAAGGTGGGTACAAAGCTTGCATTTTCCGGTCTTTCTGTGCATCACTGTCCCCCAGCAGTTCTCCAGTATAACAGCAAACGTTTGTGAGATTGCTTTGGGTGAAGTTCATCAGAGCCAGATGGTCTGAAAAATTCCTGTTTATCTGAATACTCCCTTGCTTGTGCTTTCCCTATTCAAGGCTGGACTTGTTCCTCTCGTCACTGGCATGGCTTGTGCTACCCATTTCCTCACAGCTGTCTTTTCCTGAAGGCTAGTGTAAAATACACTAAACAGTCAGGTCTTCTCTGTGGCTGCCATCTCTGTTTTCTCTCTGTTGAAAAGCAGCACAACTTTGTCCTTGGTTAGCCTCTTGCTGTTAACATAGCAGAGAACTGTTTCCTGACATCTCTTGCTTGGTGCATGCCAATTTTTACCATGGTGTCTCCTGATAGCCTCAAAATGAAAACTGGCTGTGAACTTCCTGGCTGCTGCTGGGGATATTTGAAACTGGGCTTGGGTAAATACCTGTAAGAGATGGATCTAATTTTTCTCTTCACGGCTTCCTTTAGCACCTGTAGTTGCAGTCAGGCATGGGAAAAGGCTGGGGTGGGGGCATGTTCCCTTATCACCTCCAGTTTGACTAGCACCCAAGTGACTACATAGCCCCCAAGGAGATGGGGCTAATTAGTCCAACCCACACACTGAGGGCAAGATAGTCCACATTATCCTTAGGAGCAGCTTGGCCCAGGCACATCTGAAGAGTCCCAGACAGAGTTCAACTGTCCCGAGGCCACACAGCGTCCTGATATCACTGCCAAAGCCCAGATTTCTGCACTGGCACCCAAGAATGTTAAAAGTTGCAGAGAATTTTTTGCAGCTATAAGTTTTTCCAGCTATATGGGTTCAGCA